TTGAATTACTAACCATAGGAAAAACAAGAGCCAGCAGCAACCTACTGCCACAAGTTTTTTTTTTCTGGCTCTTTGAACCAAATAATGAGATTGACTGTCACTTTATAATGTAGTCACAGAAGGCAAGTGTGGAGTATTCAGTGGCATCATGTCTGGAACTCCAAACATTTCAATTTGCAGCCCACATGTTAACCACTATGCTATACCCAGCCATTCAGTAATAAGGAGAATAATAGTTATGAGATACTACAGAATTGTATTGAATAAAGTACAGAATAGGTTAACTATGATTGAAATTTCTGTCAGTAAGGCTTAATATGTCTGAGTAAAACCAATATTATATTTTGTAACTTGCGTGTGCTGAAACAGACAAAAAGTGAACACAATAGTATTTTAAAGGACTGATAAGACTGGCATATACATACGGTGAAAGTGTTGCTCCTATGGCTAAACCGAATCTTGTACAAAGTGCTTGGGGTATAACCCTATTAAAGAATAAATCAAATTAATTATATATTATACTAACAAGATTATATTTAATTTGAAATCATTAAAATAATACAGTAATTAAAACTATTTAAACTACTGACTCAATACAAAACTGAAACTTCACAACATATTAAAACAGAATCACTTGAAGTATGAAGAGGATTCAAAAGGACAGCATTTAAATATAATAGCTAGCTAAGCTAAGTCAAAATGTGGAACAATTTTTGAAACTTTGAGAAAAGTATATGAAGTAAAAAATCAACACTTATAGTTTTCAAACACCTTCCAAACAAAGTTCATGGAATTGTAGGACCACTTATCTCCTTTCATATCCGAAGACGAAGCACTAGTATACAGCATTCACTTTAGTTTTTTTTTTTTCATTAGGCCCTAGGACAGACAACCATAAATATTTTCAGTTGCAGCCTTCCCACTCAAAAATAATGATACCAGTTTGTGTTATATTTCAGATATTCATACAAGGATAGTCAAAAATTATCTTTCCTAGCTATTCATAATTTGAACTGATAAGCTAGAAAGAAGGTAGCTTTACAACATCACCCATCACCAACTCTTGGGCTACTCTTATCTGACTAAAAAGTGGGATTTGACCATCACCTTTACAATGTACACACTCATGGCCCCAAAGTACAGGCCTCAATACATTTTGTTTTTTGTGGTAACATGACTCAAATGATGGACCAATAGATCCATCCCAACGATAAAAGAGATAGTTGATAAAATAGGTTCCTCAAGAATCTAGCTGTTACTAACCAAGTAGTTACATGCATTCAAGTTAGCATATTGATTTGGTAAATTTACATTTACTTGCAATTGCTCAATGGCAATCATGATAAACTTCAGTTAAACATGCAGGTAATGTGTCATATAACAAAACTATAGAAACTGATGATACTTGTTTTAAGTCCTGGAGAAATTTTATTCATAAAATATTCCTATTAACCCATTCACTGAAGCTGGTACATAGATTTCTTAGTGCATTGGAAAATATACATCCCAGCCACAGTTAAAGGTTCAATGCAAATGCTGTATATAGGATTTATTTGTCAAAACAGTTGTATTTTTATAATATTCAGAGAAAGAGAGCTTCATGTAGTTAATTAAAATCACTTATAAAGAAATGGCACAATGTTTAACTGTAAATTTTTAAGTTTTAACACTTACTACAAGAAACACAGAGTAAAAAAGCAACAAATAAAGGATTAGCAGAATGTTCATGTTCATTTTATTATTAATACAAATACTACCAACAGCTTACATAAAAAATCTAAACAGAACCCACTGTGCATATGACTAATGTTAATTCGTAATATTTTTTAAAATTTCAACATATTTACATATAAATCACTTAATTTTGCTGCCATTTTTTATTTTAATAAATGAAGTGAAATACAAGTGATTGTCAAACCCTAATTACTATATAAAAATTAATACTACTTTACCCACTTTTAACAACTGTGCTTAATAACAAGTATTAGAACTAGGTAGATTAAATAATCTTTAAAATGGAACAATAAATCCTAATCTGGTACCTTATTATGGCATTGCATATTCTGCAAAACTTTAGACTTAATATCATTCATTTAAAACTACAAACATATCAACCAGTAAGTGACAGCAAAACCTGGAATAATGATGTGACCAACAGGTCATACTTTCTTAACAAAAAGAAATACATTGAATAAGTAGAGTTGTTTAAACATTTGTTTAACAACAAGTTAAAGCTTGGAATGGTCTATTCTTTCATTGGTGTGTGTGTCTATGAGCCAGACTAGTTGCAGAGAATTCCACTCTCATCAGTGACCCTGAACACTATCACCAATGAAATATCAGACCAAACCAAGCCTTCATACTAGTGAGGTATCCAAAATCAAACTGGTGTATTTACATGTTTTACACTCACTAAAAAGAAACCTATCATTCTATAGGTGTTTGAAGAACTTGTAGCAATCCGCCACAATTTAATTCTTTGTATTGTTATCTGACACTGGGCAGAATGATAGGTTTCTTTTTAGTGAGTGTAAAACTCGTAAATACACCAGTTTGATTTAAGAAATACATAGTTTCATTCACAAATTTTTCTAAAACAACTTTATGAGGGTAAAAGCTATCAACATAAACCATACTATATAATATAATAAACTTCAAATTAATTCAAACATTTTTTACTTTTATAAACCTGTGCCAAAAAAGCTCTATACACACTGAAAGGTACCCTTACTGTTATTTTCAAGCTGAAAAATTCAATGTGAATCCAAGCCATCCTGTTTACAGGTAATTTTAACTAACAATGTCTTTTCCATGTCTTTTGAAACTTGAACAGTATTTATAAATATTTTTCACTTTCACATACATGTTCCATAGTACAGAAAAATATTTGTTGTAAAATTTTATAATAACATACTCTCCAACTAAAAGCACAGCTGTAACTGAAACAACAACAGCAGTGATTGGATTGGAAACTCTATCCAGAAACAAGGGCATAGCTTCAACTGCTGCAGCATTCCCAAAAATCAAGGTGACCAATAGAAGATGGTGTTTTTCAACAAGTGGAATGATTGTGTGAGCATTTTTCTTCTCCTGGGGTTTACCTTCTCTCTCCAGAACTCGTAAACTTGTAATATCCATAGAAAGGAGACCCATAGTCAGTCCTGACATCAGCCCTATTATGCAGAGATGGAAACTAAGCCAATTCTTCAAAATGAATAAGCAAGATTGCATTAACTAGTACAAGTTTATCTGTTGTTACATACACTTTAATTCCTCCTAATGCCTATCAATACTTGACCTTCTTATCCCACTAACAATCATTTACAGAATTTTACTCCCAGGCAATGATCATAAATCAAAAATGACTTTCCAACTAAAGATATTTTACTTTTGATATAAAAGTGTTACACTAAAAATAATACTATAGTATACAGCATGGCCTTACATTATTGATAGTTTACTCTGTAGTTGTATCCACATTTTTTTATCCTTAATAATAACATTTTGATATTTTTTTTTTCTGATTTTAATCACTAGTATATTTGAAAAACACTAAAATTCTATCTTTTCTCTTTCTAGTGTGTATGTATTGTACATCATAAAAACATAAAGTTACACTAAATTTGATCAAGATCGTAATGAATTAGAAAGAAGAGCTTATGAGTGAGCAAAGTCACAGAAGATTATTCAACCCATTGACACAACCGACCCAAACTAAATGTAGCTTTTCACATCCATATAACTATTAGGTAAGTTTAAATGAATTCAAACTAACATACACATTACATGAAACATTTTAAAAAGTTTTCATTAAACCTTAGCGAAAAATATCTTGGATTGTTTTTAATTTAGCTAGATGGGATGATGAGAGGTGAAATGATCAGAATCTCCAGTTTTCAGCTGATTAACAAACTAACCAACATGATTAATGTTGATTAGTTGATTTATGGTGAACAAAACTATTCATTGAATAAAGTTTTTAAGAGAAAAAATAGAGCAAATTGACAAGGGTGAGAAAGAGATATTTGTATGTGTGTCATCCGAGATAGTTTGGTTAACGTTGAGATTTTTTTACCTTAAGGGAGTGCATCAATTTCTTTTGATGGTAGTGATATAGAAGCTAAAAATTATTATTTTTACATTAATACTAGAAGTCTTTGCAGTCACTTTACAGAATTAGGAGCTTTAAGTGATAATCAGTATGTTATAATGACTAAAATTCATGAATTTCACCTTTACATAACTAGTGTTGAATATATCTTTTGTTAAATGTAATCAGATAAATGCTTCTAAAGTTTTGTGCATGTATTCTTCATGTAATATGACATTCTTGCTAAAAAATATCCAAAAGTCATAAATATGTACTAATTCATTTACTTAGGTAAAGGTTGCACATGCCAACAGCTAGAATATTTTTATCATCACTTTGATCCTGTGTCTGGCCATTCCTAGAGAAGGTCAAGCCCATCTCAAGGTGTGGCACAGATATTTGTACAAATTGGTACATAAAAGCATTTTTCTCCACTTCAAATGTTGTTTGCAGAAGTCAATGATGTACAAAGCATTAGATTCTAGTAAAACACATGAATGTTTTCTTTGATTTTGGCAGCAAATAGAATTATTCTAGTCTATCTTGTGGACACATATAGAATATCTTTTGTCTTGTGTGAGATGTTCTTAGAACTCTTTTCAACTCCAGTAGACAGTATAATTAATAAAGAACAAAAAGGCTGTCCAGTCTGGTAAATAGACATTATTCACTTGTGAATAGATTTTCTTTACTTGTTTACTTGCATTTGTGTATTTCTTGATTTTGTGTCCATGCTCAATTTATTCTTTGTTCCAACATCTACACTTTGTGAGTGCTTTTAAAATTATCTGCTGGATTTCACTGGACTTGGATACTAGAATGTTAAATGTGATTGGTATTACAGAATCTTGGTAAAATGAAGATGTTTTAGTAAGCCTAAAGGTCTTTCATAAAGACTGTGTAAATAAAAAAATGGAGCAATAATTTTGTTTGTTAGTAATAAGCTGAAATTTATGATAGAAATAATAACACTGCAGTGAAATGTGTCTAAGTTCAATTTCCTCATACAAAGGGAAGAATTTTACATACTGCCATTTTATACAAGTTATTATATCACGTGGTTGACAATCAGAGGAATATGTACAGACAGACTAGTTATTCATAAAACAGAAAGAGGTTTATCGTTACAGAAGATTAATTTGTGTTTTCAACATGAGGATGAAAATCGTGAGGTTGGGTGGGATTGTATTAAAACTTATTTTGAAAGATCCTACTATGGAAGATGCTATTTTGGATCCTGTTCTTAATACTAAGGCAGTTACAATAGAAATTTAGTTATACATGATCTTAAGCAATCATAAAATACCTTTGATGTTTTTGTTCAAACCAATTGTACAGTTAATGAGTTACATCCCAGATTTTACAGTAAAGTTAACTACTAAAAACTGTGAAAAATTAAGAAAAAGATAAGGTAACAGATTTGAATGGGAGAAATAATGATAAGTCTTAGAATGTTTCTGTATGTTTGATCAAGCTAAAAGAAAGCAAAGGTATTCTCCAAACATTAATATTCAAGGCCAAAACGTTTTCTTAAATATCATACAAACAATTCACATATAAAATGAACAATACTGTGTTTTGCAATATAAGAATAATAAAAAAAGGCTATGGGTGATCTAACTAGTGTTGTAAGATTCAGGTAAAGTGACATCCTATAGGTAATGATAGGTAGACAAGTAGACAAAAAAGAAAAATATTTATTCACAAACAGTGTTGGTTAAGAAATGGCTGACAAATGAGAAAACTGCAACTTACACCAACTTCTACAAGTATCTCTTTCACTTCTTGTATAAGCTGCTATAGGATAGGCATTACTAAATGTAACCTTTAGCAAAGCAAAGAAACTGGTATATGTTTCTAACCTGTGAAAATGCAGTTTACATAAGTATCATTAAGTGCAGAACACAGACACAAAAAATTTGAAAAATCACCTGAGATACCTTACTACAGATATATTCTAAACTACTTACAATAGGTTAAGATTAATATTTACTTCAATAATGACAATGTATCCAAAATTATTAAAGGAAATTTTAACATTCATGCAGCTGGGTTTTTATTGTGATCAATTTTGAGAGCAGGAGGATGAGAGGTTATATATTTAATATTTTGAAAGATCATATTTCTCTAACAAGATGCCAAATCTGTAGAGCTAAGCAATTAACTCTATTACCTGAGAGCCTGAATTATATCAATTAGTGTCATATAAAATTATGATTAAATTGATTAATGTCATGAAAATAATCAATTAACTGAAATCAATTCTTCCAATTATTATTTCTGACTATTCAAGCTATTCAAGTAACCAAACTTTTGCCATTAGGATTTCTCATTATTATCTTTGATTAATTCAAATTTATTTAGCTTAATTGATTGGTGTCACAACGTACGAAAATAATCAATTAATAGAAATTAGCTTTTCCCATTTTGAATGTTTTTGATTATTCCAACTATCCAAGTCTCATATAAGTATAATAAACTAGTTGAATTTGATCAATTAATAATCCCATGACTGAAATATTGTCAAATTCCACTAATTATCCAACTCTAAAAATCTGTGGAACAAACTACTACCTAAATTGGTAGAAACTACTGACTGAAACTTTATAGAAGTAAAATAAAAGGGTTGATGAATATTTTTTGTGCTAAAATCTGGATTTAGTGATTAGTTTTCTTTTTGTAGAAGAAGGATGGGAGTGCAGACATCTTTGGTGACCCAAAAGCCCTTTGATGCTCCGTAATTTCTTGATTCAAAAGTACTAAAGGGGTCTTACATTAATGGCAATAGTTGATCATACATTAAATTATTTTATTAATGTTTTTACTAATCAATAATCAAAAGGAAGAAATTCTTAAAGTGACCAATCTCTTTAAAAGTAGAAAGGATTTTTTTTAAACTTCTATTTACATAAAAGCATATTTTTAGAAAAGGTTGGAAACTTCTTGTAAATAAAAGTTCCTTAACATGACATATTTTATCTTAAAAACCTTAACAACAAATAAAGTGGGAACTATAACTTTTATATTTCAGAACTCTCTTGAAATCTGAGAAATTTTTGATGCTTGAAACATTGCAAATATGATACAGCTTTAAATTAAAATTTAAGTAGGATCCATACAACTGCAGGTCAATTAGTATGACTTACATTTATAGAAAGTTCTGTTTTCAAAACCCATTTATAAAAGTATTTGTAAAATTGACACTTAATTAGTGGTCTCTCACCATGTTTAGAATTTTTTTCTCTACCTTACCAATATATTGGAGTTTATGATGGGACCTCCATGTTGTTTACCCCAATTTTCAGAAAGTCTCTGATAAGTTGGCTCACAAGTGCATTTAATGACTTGGACATATATGAAACTTATGAGAAAAAAATAGTGGGCAAAAAAGTAAATTTAATGATACAGAGAAAAAAGCAATGTTCAATGGTTAGTTCACTATCTAGGAAAATGTGCCTAGTAGGGTCACACACGAGTCTATTTTGAAATTTGCTTTATTATTGTTCATGTTAGTGATTTTGACAACCTTTGGACAGAACTTACTTCTACATAAATCTGTTGATGTTGAAAATGTATGAAAAATTGCAAAATACTTTTTGTGTGAGAAGAGCATTTGTACTGTGATAATTTAATCACAAAGATGTGTTAGGTTTTCATCGAATCTTTAAGTTCTCTTCTAAATGTTTAGCAATAGTGAAAAGATCAGAGTTCTTGGTCCTATTCATAGATTTTCAAGAAAAATATTATTGTATTATTTGACAAGAATAACTCAGCCTGGATATGGCTGCACCTTTTTTTTTCGTTTATTACTGATTTGACAACTGACTACTTTTATGCTTTCTATTGTAGTTAATATGCTTCATAGGTACAGTGAATGAGAGTAACGGCTCACAAAGACAGCAAATATGGCATGCTCCTTTCTTTCGTTTTTTGTGTTCATCACATACTCTGTCAGTTACTACTGTTTCCATGCTTCATGGTATCCGATTGAAAATCTGAAAGCTGTGTTGAAATCAGCTTAGTTAATGTAGCTAAACTGTTTACTAATAATTACTACAGCACCTTAAATGCTTTTTCAATTAT